TAAGATGCATGCATAAGAAGCTCTCAATCAAGCTCCTGGCGATTTTAACGGATCACTATTGATGGTATGGCCTGGCGTTATCCTTATGGAACACAATTCCTCTCTTATTGGCAAAAGCTGGCCGCTTCTGAGCGATTGTTTCCTTCAGACGGTTCAATTTCTGACAGTACAGGAGGTCCGAATCAAGAGCTTGGCCGCAGAGGAGGAGCTCATAGTATGTGGTTCCCTGCCAATCCTACCAACCACATAACAAGACTTTCCCGATCGTCGATCCTGCCTTGACTACCATTGACGCCGGCTCACCGCGTTTCAACCACGACCGTTTTTGCTTGATGTTGTCCTAAGGGACCCGTTTTTCGTCGCTCCGAAGGCATAAAATCTTTTTTTGAAAGCTAAGCTCTTTCGTAATGAATCTCTAAATACAACCAAAACGAATAAAATAAGCCTAAAATCTTGGTATATGAGCTGGGACCTCATAAATATTAATACGAAATCACTTCCCTTAGTCAAAACATACTTAAAGGTAAGTGTTTCTTCCTAAATAAACATGCTTTGTTGTTTATACTTTGTTGTTTTATTACTTTATTCCAAAAACTCATTCATGTATACAGGAGCAATAGGAATATTACAAGGAGTCAACATAAAAATGTTTACAATAAACTACTACACTAATTTAGTCCTTTCTTTCGCCATCAGGTATAGCTTTGGCACACAATAAACCTGCTTTTCCTCGGAGCCCACACCAAAATCCACGCCGATCATTGATTGCCTACATTCAGCCACAAAATTTAATTTATCTAACATTCACTGATGTCCTTTATGTTGTGGTTTTTCAATTCACAGCACATCACATGCAAAATGAATGGAATGGGTTGAAAGAAATGAACCTCATGTCACACACACAGGAACACTGCCGTGGACGATTGGTGAACCAGCAAGGGACAGCACCGGCGCAAGTGTCACATGCGAGCACTTGGTGGTGTTGGTGGTGGTGGCGGTTATGCGGCGTTGGCAAATGGGGCTGGAGATGGTGTCGGTGACAGCAGCAATTGTTGCAAGGCGTACATGGTACATTCAAAGTGTGGCACGTGGGGTAGCAACAACATGATTGTTTGGCAGCACGTACCCTTGTCAAAATTTAGCACGTCGCGCTGATAAAACTTTACGCTGCTGCAACAGCAGCAGCTATCGTTTGTTGTTAGTTGTGATGTAGTTGTTTTTGTTTCTGTTTGGGGCAAGCTCGCTTCACGTTGGCTTAGTTTAGATTTTAAGTGTGAGCGTGTGTTGGCGTGTTTGTGACACACTTATACTCATCGTGGCATAAGCGATTTTTGTTGTTATTTGCTGCTATTTGAGCTGATATCATCTGCGTATGACATTGATAACAACAACTACAACAACAACCAACATGAACCACAATAGAAGCATCAGGTACTGTATTAGTGAATACAGAGAACCGCAGTTTACTCATAGCTAGGAATAACTCACACCCAAACCTAAATGCTTTATAGAGTGCTGAACTTCATTTTAGGTTGTACACGAGGTTTACTCTTTTAACCGAGGTAATTTTAACGCTGAAACTGATCAAAATTATAAATATTAATTCATATTTATCTTTCCTTGCTTTTGCAAAAATCTATCCAAAGTATATTTTAAGCTGTTCCCATAAACTTTTTTTTTTAAGGTTGGGTGTCTCAGTGTTGTGACTGTGACCTATACATCTACATTGACCGAATTATAAACCTAAAAGCAGAAATGACAAGAGATAGGTATTTTAATGCAGGCAGTACCTGCAGAAACATCGAATTTTTGATTATATTAAATACATTCTTGATACCTTGTAGCTGAGTAACAAAGCTATGTACACAATACTTACACTAGAGAAATTTCCCGCTAAACTAAATTGTTCGGTTAATAACCCAATATGACAAGTGGTTAATTCTCGAAGTAGATATTATACTTTCCAATTCAAAAGTACAAGGCATCTTGACCATTTCTTCAGCCTGGAACCTCTGCGAAGAAACCTGTCGATGTTGATGAGTATTTATTATGAAAAGAGGTCATCATATCGAACACTTCGAAAAGTCATCAACTTTTTATAGGTATTATTACAACAACAAATATTTTCTTCCACTTCCACTCGAGCCTAGTTATGCCTTACTTGTTAAATAATGCCTTCGCGTTCTGTATTGTATGCACCAATGAAGCTTAACAGCTGTTCCTCCCTGAGCTACTCAGCGAGTTTAACATTATCTAACTCCAACATCTACAGCAATTGTTGTGCGAAAGCTACTAAGCTGATGGCAATATTTATATTCAACAAGGCAAGCGATCGCGCGAAATACTCGCTAGTGTTCCCTACAGTTATTTATAAATATATTTATGTACGTGTGCGTTGTTTTCATAATCTAATACTCGAAATTCGCTTTGCAACGCAGAGCAAGGGAATAGAAGATGTTCACAGCGGTATCATTTGTCTCTTTGTTTGGGAATCGCTCAACATATCTGGATACATGTGGCAAACATGTAGATATAGTAGGTATGGTAGATATACTATATATATAAGGACTTAGTGGGTTTTTCGCATTCTGATATTATATAACACATACAGAGCGGAGAATGTAGTATTAGGGCTTGGGGAGTTACAGATGCTACTACCAAAGTAAATGATTCAATGAAGGGCACCTCTGTGCAGCTATGTCACTGTTGAAATCTTATTTCAGCTTACTTATGTTGACAAATTTCTGATTTGATAAGGTTGATATTACAGAAGTGAATTCCGAAGGAGAGATTGTCGATACTTAAGAAAATAAAACCAACATCTCACAAAATGTGTCATGCAGGCAATAAAATAATGGATCCTCAGGATATTTACTCAGGATTTATCCATCATAGATCTTTCCCACAAAGCGCCTATCAAAGAATATGTCCTTGGTCACTACAGAATCTCTGGTGTGATTCCCTATTAAGTACATCAACAGCAATTCATTTTCTGGGATTGCCACAGTAGTCGTGTCTAGGTACCAAAAACATGATAAAGCATTCACCAAGAGGTCTACAATCTTTGCTTGTAAGCTTAATTCTTTAACTGATAATTATCTGACGAAGTGGATAAAAATAAAGTGCATAGTTAGCAAATACTTGATAAAATAATTGGTACGATTTTTCTTGCACAGCAGCTTGCACTACACGGAAAAGATCTCTAACGATTCTAGATTCTCAAATGGATATTTATAAAGAACGTTTTACAAAATATCAATGCAGGAAAATATATTTCAAAATCTCACAATACGTATTTGCCATAAAGTAAGGCAGCTATGAAAGTCGGCCAGAAAGAATTCGGAAAGTCCTTGATTTAAAGTATTTTTCAGAGCAGAGTTGCCACTGATAGAAAGAGTATGTTATTAAATATCACATAAAAAAATATAAAATATAAAATAAAAACTTCTACGAGAAACTGTCAATTGTAATTGTAACAAAGTTGCCACTCATCGAAAATACCTGCAAAACTTAGGAGTTTTCCTGAAGTTCAACCTTAGGCAAACCTAAACCTAACGTGCCTTACAGAAAAAATTCAGTGAGCCTTTCGTTTAGAATTTTTTCGTAACAGAGTTGCCACTGATAGAAAAAGCGAACAATTATATATCATTAAAAATCATATGTGCTATGTGTAAGACACTTTGCTTCCGGAAAGTATTCGGAAAATTTTGAATGTGAAAATATTTTGTAACAGAGGTGGCAACTATCAAAAAATCTTATTCGATTTTTTTCCAGAAAATATACGTCGGCTCAGGCATACTTTTCAATAGAGTTGTCATTTATCAAATATTTGAAATATAAAGTAATTTTGTTTTTACATAATTTATCATAGGAGGTACTAAACTTTACTCACTCCCTCCACCATCCTCACCTGCTATACTTTTCTGGCATCTATTGACCCACTCTAATGTTAAATCGTCCACTATCTAATATAATTTTTCTAAAAGTATTTTTTTTTTCGAATATTCAACACTTACACCAAGATAAATATAGAAATGCATTTGCACACTTAATTACTTTTTGAAGTATTTCTATGCATTTATGCACCCACATTAGTAAAAAAATTAAATAAAAATTTCGAATTTTCCAACTTCATCAACTCAACACGTTCACCACATTGTTTATACAATACACCACCTGCAAATACCAACCGCAACAAGCGAAGGTCTCTACGGTGAGCCAAAGGCAACACTTAAGGAATTCGATGATGGAAGTCATGGCATAACAGAAAGCACTGCTACGATCATGCATGTATGTATGTATTTGTATGCATATGCGAGTGTGTGCAACATTTATTGGCGTTTATACTGCGTCTTGACTGCCAGACACTTCCAGCTGTAAGTCAAAGATTACATTTTCATTTACTTTGCACTTTGATGGCACCAAAATAAATAAGCCAACACAAGCACGCACACACAAACGTGTATGCATGTGTGTGTGTGTTTATAACAAAATATTCAATCATACAACTTTCATACAAATATTGACACTGCAACAACATGTGTGCAGCTAGTGACTCCTCACAACAATAGTTTCATTTTGTGCCAGAGTTTCCCCTAAGACCTAAGGTAAAGTACCTTGAAGGACTCTTCCGTGAGCCATCGATGCTCATGCAACTTTGACACCTACACTTTAGTTTGCCATTGATGTTGTGGTTTATTGTAGTGGCCTTTCACCTTAACTGTAGTGAACCCTGCAGCTGTATATATACATATACCGTTATAAAGTGGCGAAGAAAAAGTTTACCCCCGAAGCATTGGCCAAACTAACGATAAACACTTGAAACTTTATTAAATTCGTTGTATTTACTTAGGATCAGTTCGGTAGTACGATAACCACATAAGTTGCATGCCACAAGCACAGGTAAATAAACGTGCCACACACACATATACTCGCACACACCTTCACTAAACATTTCCGGCCCACTTGAGTTTTTGTGGACGAAATAAAACGACTTCGAGTACTCTTACTGGTACGAACTTGCATGCTGCACTTGATTGCACCAAAATTTATTTAAATGAAACTATTTGTTGGAAATTTTCTTACAACCAACGCTATTCTTTGCTTTTCTCCATTGTTTCGTCGCCTGCATTAACGTTTTTTGCTGCTTTAACGATCTTTGGCGCTATAGCAGACTTTGCGAAAGGACCAATATCGGCTGCATACGCCATTAGCGCGGGTATATTTGTCTGTTCGTAATTTCCCGAAAAGTAGTGGGCGTATGGACCGGAAGCAAAGACGCCCACATCATCACCCCCATGTGTTTCCGAGTCCAGCGGTACGGTGGCCATATATCGATACTTCGGATCATCCAAATCAGCGTCGCTCAAATTGCGACGACCTTTCTTTGTGGAGTAGGTCTTTGAGTAACCGGGCCCATTGGCATAGGAGAGTATGGTATATGGTAAGTTGTCATCGGCAACCATGGGCGCGAGACCGAAGATGTTAGAACCGCGTGTCTTTAAGAAAAAGCATACAAAGTTGTAGAAAAAAGCTAGTTAAGATGAATCTGAATTTTAGGTACTCTATAATTTAACAGATTAGCAAGAATTTAAATTATTCTAAAATGTGAAAAGCTGTATCTTCAGACAAGGCATCGGCCTTCTAAACTTCTATTTTTCGAGGTTAACTGGTATAGGTAGCAAGTTGTGGACTGAATCCACTAGTTATTAAACTGGACCTAGTCAAATATAAAAGGATCTTTCTTACATCGATTAACAGACGTTGCTAGATGTTTGGGGCTGAAGCGAATCCATATATTACACATGGAATAGCGAAAATATTGACCGATGGCATCCAACAATAGTCCGTTTGCAATGCAGTTGGGTCCACTTATATTGTACCTATAGCTGCTAGGTAAAAATTCATTAACTTGGTCCTTGTAGGTTTCGCGTTTTTAAGATTGCCGTTATAAAGAAGATGGGTTTCAATACTGGTCATTTTACGGCTTGAGTGAACTCTATGTTCTCAAGGAGTTTGAATGAAGGATCCCAATGGTAGGCTGAGCCTCGCTTACTTTTCATATGCTAATGTGTTTATTTATGAAGTTGATCCGACAATCAGAATACTGAATGGATTTTCACTCCACTTACTGCTTGCGCAGATGAATAGGAGAACGGAATTCCTGTCTAAATCAAGTCATTTTGTCAATCTGAACATTTTGATATATTTATAATACATAACTCTACATGTATCTTTATTATTTTAAGGCGTTATAAACGACTGTTAGTTTTTATACCCAGCGCAATAAGTTAAGAGAAAAAACAACTCACCGGATAACCGTTAATTGTCATGGTATGCGAATGATCTGACGTTACCACAATCAATGTATCTTCTTCACTTGTCATTTCGCGCGCCAATTCGACGGCGCGCGCAAACTCCGCCGTATCCTCGATTGAGCGATGTGCACGCGTGCTATGATGTGCCATATCGATACGTGCGCCTTCGACAAATAAAAAGTAACCCTTATCATTTTTACTCAATAGCTGTATGGCCGCCTCGGTCATTTCACTCAACGATGGCACTATCTCTGTTAAGCCCTCACGCTTCAAATCCCCATGGTACGGACAATGGGATGAGCTAAAAAGACCCAGCAAATACTCAGTTTCATTGAGGTCCACATTCTGCAGACCCTCCTTATTCCATACATATGCCGCGCTTGCGCCTTGTTCATATTTATCCGCTAGCCACTCTTCAGTCAAATTTCGACCATCGCTACGTTTGCCCTCGATACCCTCTTCATCGAGTTCCTCCTCATCGATAAAATTACGCCGTCCACCACCCATAATTACACGCAAGTTCTTACCAACTGGCCATTCAACTAGTTGACTTGCAACGTCCACATTATGCTCTGCGCCAGAAACACAACCACTAGACTTGATCTTTGAATCAGTCTCCCAGTCACGGTTGGCAGTATGCGCATAAACACCAGCCGGCGAAGCGTGTGTGACACGCGCTGTTGTCACCAAACCCGACCACTTGTCAGCGTCTTGCGCCCATTTTGCAATACTTTCGGTATGTGTACGCGTATCGATAGCCGCTTCGCAATCGTTTTTCGGTACTTCGGCTGTAACACCGATCGTGCCGTAATTAGCCTTAACGCCCGACAGGTAAGCTGTTGCCGTACAGGCAGAGTCTGGTACAAGCTTGTTGACTGAGTAAGTTTTGGAGAGACCTGTGTAGGGGAATTGTTCGAACGAGACCTGTTCGGAGCTATCACCGAGGAAAGCACGTGTAGCGGTTATTGTATGCACCGACATGCCATCGCCAAGAAATAGTATTATATTTTTGGCACGATTCGTGTTAAGCCGCGATGACTGCTCTAGTTTGTCGGCGAGTATGTTTTGTGCTTTATCTACCCAATATTCGGTTGTTTGCTCTTCGATGGCTCGTGCGGTTTTCACGGAGCGTGGGGTAAGTACTCGTGCATGATCTGTAAGTTGACATATAGACTGAATAACTATATAAAGTGTACACAAATTTCCAGAAAATTACTGACTGCAGGAAAATTGTTAGTGGGGTCTCTTTTGGCCCTGCGATAAGGTTTGATGGGATGGAAACATTTCACATTATCTGCCAAGAAATTTTTCGTTTTTTAGGTTTGTAAAGATCAAACAAGACTACAAAGAATGATATTGAACGATTAAGGTCCTTGGGGTGCTTTGAGGCAGAAAAGCTTTTTGAACTTTTCAACCTTTTGGCGCTTTTGAGCTATTTTCTATACATCAAAAAATAATAATAATTAAAAGAATCAATCAAAAATAAGTCTTATAAATCGAATCGAGTAGTCACAACCGCAATGAGCACCTAATTTAAGTAAGTTCAAGTACTTCTTTTCAACAACTACACTAAAAGTCAATGTTGATATGACTAATATATATAGTCCATAGTCTATATTAGTTATCATTGTCTCAACAAATCGTCAAAACATTTCTAAGCTTTTAGCCGTTTGAAACATTTCGATTTATATTATCTTTCGATTGGCAATCTAATCGTTTAATATCTACTATATATGTTGCAATCAGTGCAATTTATTGGTTTATAGTGATTTTGTTTTGACCACGGATTTTAAGATTTTTTATGGCATTTCATGTGCAATTTATTAGCTGATAAGTAAGTGTATTTTATTGCATAATTATTGAAGGATTATGAATAATATTGGACTGTACTAAAAATCGTGTTGATTATACCATTGTTTGAACCAAGAAGTTTCTAACCAATTGTTTGCCTAGAAACAAACAAATACTCACTTAGGTAATGAAGTATAGAATTTTATCAGCTATTGAACCGAAAGCCAGATATTTTTATGGATTAGAAACCATTATGAGGGCAAAGAACTCTTGGCAATAATTGAGTCGCACATAAAATTAAAAAAATTTTTGTGAGAAATTATTGATCTGCTCCTACAAGTCGGGTGCATGAATTTTTAGTATACAATTTTTTACCTAGTCTCTGAGATGTATACTAAAATCAGAAGCTGTTTTAGTTATTTATTTAACATGTAGAGACAAAATGACAAGTTTTCACTGAAAATAAAAAATATCTCTACTTGTGGAGACTTCATTTATTTCTGGCTGCTTTTAAGCTAAAAAGGGCTAAGCATTTTTGAATTACTATTTTAACGTTAAAACGAAAAAAAAACCACAAACCAAATTCGACACTTTTGTAGAGTTGTAAAAAAATCGTATATAACAACAAATGTTTACTGTTATAAAGCTTAAAACTTTAAAATTTAAATTTTCGTATATAATAATAACTCTCCATTTTTCGGAAAGTTGTCGAAACAATCATCGTTAAGCATAATATCATAAAATAATGATAAAATTTTAATTATGGTTAATTTTAATAACTTTCATTGATACAAGCACAATTATGCATTAGCTTGTCTAGCGCACGTCTGAAAACGACTGTGTAACACTATAAACACAATGTGAATAAGTATAAACTCCGCTATTGCCATCTCAGTTTAAACAAACTGGCTTCCCAGCTTGTATGAAAGCTAAGCGCAGCAGTTCAAGTTCAATGAAGTGCATTTGCAATTGCCAATACATAATATACAACAAGAACTCGTCTCAAAGCTGGATTTCGCATAACACGCTCTACTTTATAGTCTACGTGCTTGTTTAAGCGACGAAAATACCATTTCGGCAAAAGCGATTAATTACCTATTTCGTATTTTGTTTAACCTCATTTATACTATTTACTTTTTAATCAGATGCGTGCTATGAAAACCTCATCCAAGATATGCGAGTTTCAGCACAAACACAGTAGACTAAGAGAGACCTTTCACTTTCATGTGTTGACAATTTTCACGTCATTTGCTTTCTTTGACATAAAACATTTTTATTATAAATTCTGTTTACTTACATTCGTCGGCGAATGATACACTTGCGAAGCAGACCAAAAGGTCCAATAGAAACCAATGAAGATTGTACATGCTTTAAACACGACGCTTGTTAGACAAAATGAAGTGAGTTTTACTGAACTGAAGTGAAACGAACGTCACCTGCAAGCGAATGCTACTGTTGACTTTTTTGCAAAGTGACGCAGTTTTTATTCGAAATTAAGAGTGTAAACAAAAACAAAGAAGCGCAAAGAACTCTAAATGGCTAAAATGAATGCTTAAATAAATCTAAATGCGGCGATAAGTATCAACAACACTTAGCGCTTCCAACGGTTTCACAGTTACTAGGCGTGAGCTACATGAGAGAAGTAGTGAGATAGTGAGAAAAGAGAGTTGCTTGCATGGAGTGTAAGTTGAAAGTCAAAAATGAGCGCCAAGAATATAAACTCGAAAATTTTTGAAAACACGTAAGGCAAGCTTCTTATTTATTGCCGAAAACAACGACTCCGAAAATCGCTTAGACACTACGACGACTGTAGTGTATTTCGTAAGCGTCACTAACCGACCTATATAAATACGTGACTCACGTGCGAGTTCTACAGGTTTCTACTGCATTAGTAATCTAATCAAGTCTAATTGCCGAACAATAACGCGCCGATATCCCAATCGCAGCCAATCCGCAGAAGGCATCGCTACATTCAACGCTATATGCAAATTTCGACCGATTATATATAGCAAACGTAACGTTATCGGAGAACGTCGCCTATAAAAGACGCACCCGCATGCACTCCACAATAGTCTGCATAAAAATGTCGGCACTAACACAAAAATTGTCGCAGCTCATAGCATTGCTGCTATTGGTGGACACGCTCTCGAACTACAATACTGCCGAAGCTGGGTTCATGGGCGCTTGCGATCTGACAGCAGAAAATGATGACTGCATGGAAAGCGCTATGCACCCGGATTTTCCGACGAAACGCATGCATACCAGCAAAGCATATACCGAACCAGAGTTTACTAGCGACTTTTGGCTGGAGCTAAGTAAGAAATTCGTGCGCCAGCAAGCGTCTGCGCAGCGCAATAAGCGTGTAGCTAAGAATGTTATACTCTTTATTGGCGATGGCATGGGTTTGACGACGTTTGCAGCGGCGCGCAATCTGCTCGGCGGCCCCGAGAAACAACTGTCGTTTGAGAAATTTCCATTCACGGGCTTCTCGAAGACGTACTCAGTGAATACAATGGTTCCGGATTCGGCGGTGACATCCACCGCTTACTTGTGCGGCGTTAAGGGTAATCACGGCACGATCGGTGTTAATGGCTGCGTTGAACGCACCAATTGCGCGGGTATGTCCGATACGGATAATCACGTGCATTCGATTGCGAAGTGGGCGTTGGACGCTGGTAAATCTGCCGGTCTCGTGACAACAACACGCGTTACGCACGCTTCACCGGCGGGTGTGTACGCGCATGTAGCGGATCGTGAGTGGGAGAACGATGCAGTGTTGGCGGATGATTGTGGTGCCGATTCGGGTTTAGCGGATATTGCGCAACAACTGATCCACGGTGAGGTTGGCAAGCAGCTGAAGGTGATCTTCGGCGGTGGTAAGCGCGAGTTTTTGGACAAGCAGTTCTTTGAAAAGGGCAAACGCCAGGATGGACGCAATTTGATTGAGGAATACCTGCAACAGTCTTCGGATAATGCTTATGTGGAGACACGTGACGAGTTGTTCAATTTGAATTTGAATTCTTACAAACGTGTGTTGGGTCTGTTCCAGCGCTCGCATTTGGAATATCACTTGGACGCGGAGAACACGCAACCGACATTGAAGGAAATGACCGTGCGCGCCATTGAGATGCTACAAAAAGACGATAAGGGTTTCTTTCTTTTCGTCGAAGGCGGTCGTATTGATACCGCGCATCATTCAAATATGGCGGAATATGCTTTGGATGAGACTGTGGAGTTCTCAAAGGCAATCGAAGCAGCGCGTAAATTGACTTCGGAGGAGGATACGCTCATTGTTGTTACCGCTGATCATTCGCACAGTTTCAGTTATGCTGGTTATCAGGTGTGTATAGCAAGATAGTAAAACTGAGAGAAAAGCTACGAGTATGTGTTGAGTATAGCATACGAGAGTAGATAAGAAAGTCAATGTGTAGTGTTTTAACTCTGATAAGCCGAAATACTTTACAGTAAGTAAGTACATTAATTTCCTCTCTATTTTTATTAGGATCGCGATAGCGATATTTTCGATGTCGCATCATCTGAAGCTACCGATGACCTACCCTACCTAACGCTGAGTTATGCCAATGGTCCCGGTTTTAAGGATTACTACAATACAAAGAAATATAAGCGTCGTAATCCAGAAAAAGTGCGCCCTGATGTTGACACTTTCCCCGCCACAGCACCTTTGGAGAGCGCAACGCATGGTGGTGAAGATGTGGCCGTTTTTGCTTCCGGTCCATGGTCACATCTTTTTACAGGTGTTTATGAGCAGAATACTATACCACATATGATGGCTTATGCGGCGTGCGTGGGCGACGGTTTGAAGGCATGCTAAATGAATTTGTGTGATTTAATTTGGTTGGGAAAGCAAAAAAGAGAAAGCTAACAAACACTTATTAAAAATGAATTAACGGAGAATGTAAAATAATAACCATAAGTTGTTGTCATGTTGGAAAACAAGTGCCGTGTTATCTACTAATAAAATGTCTTTATGCAATTAATTGTTTCAGTTCTAATTCTCTTAATGCATATATGTATTTTATAAGTTACGATTATACTAACAAATCATAACCCTAAATAGATATTTATGAGCAAATTTAATGACAAATAAGCTGTAAATTTAAAAAAATATTTTCATAAATATGCTAATTATAGTTTTTGACACTTAAAATCAACAATTTATGAATTCTCCACTTTTTGGAGAGTTTTGAAAAATTATTATTTTGCTGCTTTGTTGGTCTAAAATCTCTTCTAATTTTTTTTCTAAAAAAATTAAAGTCTTCGGTTAGACAATTTTTTAGATTTTAACATTTTTACGATTTTTTTCTGCTTTCTTAGGATTTTGGAGTCAAGATCATGCCTTATATGCTTTTAAAGTCAATCAATATAGAACCTTAATGCGACGAATTATTCTTTTTGCATGATTTTATACAGTAAACGACAAAGGAACGGACACGTATAAATTTTAATTTCCAAAAATTAAAATCCCTATCTCCAGCTCACTGTCAAATAAATGCAATCATAAATCAATAAAGCCATACCACCAACGCCACAGTATATTAAATATAAATTATCCCATCAAATACACATCAATACACGCGCATGAAACCAATATTGACCGCACTGCAATAATGTTCGTTGCTGCAGCGTCTGTTGAAAAATTGAAAAGCGGGAAATGTATAATTAATAGAATTTTCCATAGTGCCGCTCTACGCATAAATCCATAAATTACATTGATTTTTGGTTTTATTATTACAAATATTCTTTCATCGTTATGCTGTGAGTGTTTTGCATATTTTCTTGTTTTTTTTTTTATTTGTGGCAACACACCGAATATGAATGATAACGAAGAAAAAATACTATACGCTATGACAGCAGCTGCTGTCAGCCGATAGCCAAGCCGCCAGACGGACAGTTAAGTCAGCGGCAGGGCAGCATTGATTGCGCTTTCCTACATACCGACAACTTAGCAGACACAAATGAAGGCGCGTACATAGTACATACAAATTATATTTAACATATATGTATGCATGTATGTATTGTTGTGCTTCACACTTCTTCAACAACCACACCTTTACATGCATTCACACTTTAAGCTGCATATGAGTGCCCGTAACTGTGTCCTTTCAACCTACACACACACGCATACACCCTACCAAACTAGCAACGCCCACTGCGCTTGCACAACATTTTAATTAACCATTATCACAGCTGTCGCAGCGTTGGCGATGTGAGTGTTAAATTTGCATATCACAGCGCATGAGTTGGGAATGAGTGAGGGCGATCAAGAGGGCTATAATACAGACGGTAAAACGAACTTATGAAGTGATAGGTGACATTTACATATGCATATGTGGACAAACACATATTCCCTTTTGTTATTTTCAAACAAACACTTATGTGTGGAAAGCTTAATATATATTGCTGAGTTTGACCAGTGAGCCAAAAGTGATTGGTAAGAGTAAAACAACAAGAACAAAAAACGAATAAACATAAAAATGCATTAAATTAAGATACAGTTTAAGAAAGGAGAAGTGAACAGTGTTCGGAAATGTCTCCGCACTTGAAGAGTTGCCAAAGTTGCTATTTAGCATGTCCAATATACTTATAAAGTTAACGAACTAAGAAGTCTCCAATTGCTGGAATTTTCTTGAAATTTCAACTAAGTACGACTTTTTAGAATGCAAATAAACGCTTAAAATATATTTCAATAAACTTAGTAAATAATAAAGCTAAAACTGGAGCGAAGTATTGTCATATTAGAAAATCTTCACTTCAGTAAAGTTTTAAATTTATATTTTTATGACAGTTTTAAAAGCATTTCAAAGAAAATATATCCTTTTATTAAGATAGTAACAGTTTTGATTGTGAACTTTTCCATGCTCTCTATTCTTTACTGGGTTGCCATAATAATTTATTACGTTTGCAGCGTTTTATTTTACACAACCGTATAGATATTAATTTACACATTTACATATATACAAGCATACTCAGACATATTTATTTATATACATATGTGTGTACATATATATGTAATAATTTTGTCGATATGATGCGTACAAACATACATACATGCACTGGCAGGATATGCAGCTTTAATACATATGAATATACTACACACATACAAACATACATATGTATTTATTTAAACAAATGTATGTACACACTTGACATTCGAAATTGTCGAATGCACTGAGAGTTGAATGTTGACAATTATGACAGCCACAGCATCCCGACCAAAGCTACATATATACCACCACGGGCAACAGTTGTTGTGTTTTTGCATTTTTTTATTATTGCTCTGGCTATTGCACTTGCAGTTGCATTTATTGGGAGTATTGTCATTTACATTATTGACGTGGGTGTCGTTTGCGTTGAAATTAACGCCATTTTAATTGAATTTTAATATTTTACACATGAATGAACGATGCGAATACGAATGTAGAGTTGAGCATTTGTTGGTGTGATAACCATTGTCAGGCATGTTGCTTGCTGTCTTGGTGGCTTATAAAAGACAAGTGGTAACATTTAATAAGCATGTGGCTGACAGCTACATAGCTGGAAAAAGTAAGCTGACAGCAAAAGCTGAAAACACTAAGGACTAAAGGCATTACATGAATAAAAAATATATATAATATGAATAAAGGGGTGTAAAATTAAATTGTCATTATACCATATCCGGTGGAAAGTCGTTTCCTCGTGTTAACCGTCATATTTGATATGTGGTTGAATTAGTGCTACATTAAAAATTATACAAATATGCGCCAAAGTATAAATTCATATTTGATGAACTTTTAACAAGCATATTTAAAAATTCTGCACCATTGGAGACAATGTTTTTTCGTTAAATTACCTTTATTTTACTTACCGTATACTTATTTCATAACGTATTTGCATAACTTAGGATAAAATAAAAAGTCTCCACTTCTGGAAACCACGCATTTTTGCTTAAAACGTACCAAATGACGCAATACATTAATTATTTTATAGAAAATTATGTAAAATTTAAATGATAAGTTTAGTATTGATTAAAATAATTAAGGATTTTCGTTCGGGAAAGCATGTGGAGATATTTATGGAAGTTGAACTGAGTTACAGTCTACCACCTTACTAAATTACGAAACAGGAGAGTTATAAATGTGCTTAAAACTCGCTAATTAACTGCTTTCTTAACCGCATATTGATTATTTAGCAAAATTACACACACGTGATCTCTCCAAAATTTTTGGAATTAAATCGTATAATTTTTCATGCGAAATTTCTATATATTACAGTATTTGACTTTCAGCTTCTCAAAAATGTCACAAACAAAAAGCCTCCACTTATGTAGAGTTTTAAATTTGAAGATATAATCATCGTATAAGACAATTACCATACATTGTTTTTAATTTACTAAGTGTAGATATTTAAGTATTTCGCTTTAATCTTTATTTGATTAAATTTTGGTGAAATTACGTACATCGAAAATTAAATTCAACTCTATTTGACCGTTAAGCCTCCCCCTTTACTTACAACGTATTCTGCATACTTTACACACAAACATTTAAACGCATAAATTAAAATCATAATGCCATTAATACCAATTGCAATGCCTCGCCTGGCATTCGATTGGCGTGAAAATCAAAAATTCTTTTCAATTGGCATACGCACAGATTGCATACTGGTGGCATCGCTTTACTGCTTTGCGATAATCGTAATTTACGCAATTGCGAAATAATGATTGGTGCACACTCTCTGTTTTGGCTCAAATCACAAAATCCCTCAAATGAAATAGTGAATAGTGCAATTGACAGCTGACAGACCAACGCACACCATACACACAGACATTTAGTGTATAAACAAAATATCGTTGAATGTACAATGAAAAATATGAGTTTAAAAAAGCATTTCAATTCGAAGTAATCAAAAGGGAAAAGGAAGAAAATAAATAAGCATTTATTAAATCGCAGCTACGCATTGTGACAAGCGTTGACAATAAAAGTGTCAATGCATGACATGTTGAAGCTCTGTAGCGTCTACCGTGTAGACACATAGACAAAAAGTTTGCACAGCAGACGGCTGGGTGCTGCCTTTGACATGTCGGCGCTGTTGCTGTCATTAACTACACATCCTAGCAGCAGCGGTAGCAGTTGCTGCAGCGGCAACTTTTTTCCAATCGCTTACTGGCAGCTGCTACTCACTCATCGCAGCGCTGTCGTTTATCAATTTTGTGCAATTTGCATGCGAATGCTGCTGCTAGGTTGCTGTTGCTGATATCAACTCACACCTACACACATATACAAATATACATATGTATGTACAAGTATGTTGGTACACATCTGCAATATATTCCGGTTTTGGCTTTCATTAATTTTTTCGACACTGCGATTGTTGTTGTTGCATTTGTTGGTATGATTGTCAGCATCTATACGCGTAAAAATGCAAATTTAAACGAATTTCAATCATTTTCCAGTTGTTCTCAAAAATGCACAAAAACAAAAATTTATGAGTGCATAGTAATCAATGCATATATAGTATGTGTGTGTATGTGTATATGTATGAAGCACATGTGCAATATGTTAAACTATTCGCATTTTGACTCTGTGGTTTGTTTCTTCCACATTTGGCTTAAGTGCCGCGCTATTACAGAACGTTTAGGTCAGAACTGCATTTGCGCTAATGCCACTGCTACTATGACTCAACTCAAGCTAAGTAACATCCCTGTAGAGATATTTTACAATAAATTTGCTTCAAGAAGTTAAACGATTTTTGGTACTAAATGAAGGAAGCTCATACATATGTACATACACATATACATATGTATATATTACATATATGTATGTACATTTCCTATTCATTTAAAATAAAATTACGTCTTTCTGACCATTTATTCAATGCGCATTGAAATAGTTATCCTTGAGGTCTGTTATTTCCCTAAAAAAACAAGTCTCCGATTTTTGGAGAGTTAACATTTTGATCAAAAATTAGTTCCACTTGAAATTGCAAAATTTTACAACTAAAA